GTATATTATTTGTGGCACTAATCTCTAATTTACCTCACATTAAAGGGACACTATAGTCCCCAGAACCACTACAGCTTACTGTAGTGGTTCTGGTGTCTATAGCCTGTCCCTGCAGGCCTTTTAATGTAAACACGGCAGCACTGCAGCACTGGCGTTAGATAACATGGCAAATCATATGGGTGGGGCATTGTGATGTCACATGGGGGGGCGGCAAACTTTACTTTTGCCTAGGGCGGCAAAAATCCTTGCACCGGCCCTGCAGACACTGCATTCCTGTGGGCAGACTCAGGTGCAGGCACCGGGGGGCCCAGACCTTGAGCTGTGTCAGGGGCCCCAAAATTTCTGATGGCAGCCCTGATAGTGTCCCTTTAAATAATATCATGAATTATTATTTTACTGAGAGGGTAGTGGATGGATGGAAAAGCTTTCAAGCTGAAGTGCTAGAGGTTAACACAGTGAGGGAGTTTAAGCATGCATTAGATAAACATAAGGCTATCCTAGATATAAAAGCCAGGGACTAATGAAAGTATTTAGAAAATTGGGCAGATTAGATGAGGCGCATGGTTCTTATTTGCCCTCACATGCTATGTTCCTATGCTACTGATGTTTTTTTGTGTACCCACGGGGGTACTGGATTGCACCCCAGGGGGTACACATACCACAAGTTAGAATTCACTGCAATAAGTTAATAATTTCCAGTCTGGAGCCCCTATGGATCATGAACCTTTATAAGCCAGAGTGTCCAAATTTAACTTAAAGACAACTTATTTATCTCAAAGTGCCAGAAATTTGAACAAGAAAGCTTAGGCCAGGGTGTGAGTGATATATGTGTTTTGAGTGTTTATTTTATTTCAAGTGGATTAATAAAAAATTATGTTTCAGGGGGTTTTTTTGCGCGGCGGGAGCAATCTTTCCTGCAGGTACAGTGGGGTATAACAATAATTTACTGGTGGTCCAGTGGGATCACATAGTTACATAGTTACATAGCTGAAAAGAGACTTGTGTCCATCAAGTTCAGCCTTCCTCACATATGTTTTTGTTGTTGATCCAAAAGAATGCAAAAAAAAACCCAGTCTGAAGCGCTTCCAATTTTGCAACAAACTAGGAAAAAAATTCCTTCTTGACCCCAAAATAGCAGTCAGATATCTCCTTGGATCAAGCAGCTATTACCCCACTAATTAGAAATTATATCCCCGTATGTTATGTTTTTGCGAGTATTTATCCAATTGCTGTTTAAACATCTGTATGGACTCTGATAAAACCACCTCTTTAGGCAGATAATTTCATATCCTTATAGTTCTTACTGTAAAAAAAACCTTTTCTTTGCCTTAGATTAAATCTCTTTTTCCAGTCTAAATGCGTGACCTCGTGTCCCATGTATAGCCCTGTTTAAGAATAGATTTCCATATAATGGTTTGTACTGGCCTCGAATATATTTTTATAATGTTATCATATCTCCTCTAAGGCGCCATTTTACCAAACTAAAAATATTTTATATTTTTTTAACAATAAATCCCTGGTGGACCAAAGATCTTAGCAATGATTTGTTTGTGGTTGAGTAGTGGAGTGTATGGTATTATTATATTAATCAATCCATCTTGTCTATGCTTAGCGAGGAAGTCAGAGCATAGTAAGAGAATCCTGAACGAACTCTGACTCCCTCACTGACCGCCGGAACTGAAGAGAGCAATAATATATTTGCACCAGGGGGAGATGCAGACCATGGGCTCGACCCCTTGACAACCAGAGAATAATTTTTTAATTTAATATACAGTCAGGTTCATAAATATTGGGACATCGACACAATTCTAATCTTTTTGGCTCTATACACCAACACAATGGGTTTGAAATGAAACAAACAAGATGTGCTTGTTTGGACTCTGATAAAATGGCCAAGTCAATCACCTGACCTGAATCCGATTGAGCATGCATTTCACTTGCTGAAGACAAAACTGAAGGGAAATGCCCCAAGAACAAGCAGGAACTGAAGACCGTTGCAGTAGAGGCCTGGCAGAACATCACCAGGGATGAAAAACAGCGACTTCAGGCTGTAATTGACTGCAACGGATTTGCAACCATGTATTAAAAAGTGAAAGTTTGATTTATGACTGTAATTTGTCCCATTACTTTTGGTCCCTTGAAAAGTGGGAGGCACATATACAAACTGTTTTAATTCCTACACCGTTCACCTTATTTGGATGTAAATACCCTCTAATTAAAGCTGAAAGTCTGCAGTTAAAGCACATCTTGTTCATTTCATTTCAAATCCATTGTGGTGGTGTATAGAGGCAAAAAGATTAGAACTGTGTCGATGTCCCAATATTTATGGACCTGACTGTATTGCTTCAACGTCCTCTAAAGGTGTAGAGCTACAAAATGCAAGCAGGGCCAGGTCTCACAAATATTAGTGCATTCAGCTGCAAGATTGCAGGGACAACATCTATGCCCCCAAAGCAGTTTATTATATTAAATAGAGAGGAAACCCTGATTTTGTTGCAGAATCTAAGATTGTTTGCTAAATCCCCATTTGTCTATCCGAGAAAGAGAAACTACAGTGGCTGGAAAAGTTTCAATTCTTGGAGAATGCTTCACTAGAGAAAAAGGGAAGTCCGATTTGTGGTTTTAATAAACCCACACACACTGCCCCCCCCATACACACATACTGCCCCCCCATACACACACACACATACTGCCCCCCCATACACACATACTGCCCCATGCTGCCCCCCATACACACACACTGCCCCCCCATACACACACACATACTGCCCCCATACACACATACACACACACATACACACACACACTGCCCCCATACCATACCCCCATACTGCCCCCCCATACACACACACTGCTGCCCCCCATACACACATACTGCCCCTCATGCACACATAATGCCCCATGCACACATACTGCCCCCCATGCACACATTGCCCCCCATACACACATATACATTGCCCCCATGCTGCCCCCCATACACACATACTGCCCCCTCATGCACACATACTGCCCCTTTATACACACATACTGCCCCCTCATACACACATACTGCCCCCTCATACACACACACTGCCCCCATACACTGCCGCCCCATACACACGCATTGCCCACACTCACACACACACACACACACACTGCAACTGTTACACACACATACTGTCACACACATACTGTCCCACACATACACTGCACCCCTGACATACACTGCCCCCCCTACTCACACACTACAACCTTCACACACACACTGCACCCCTTACACATTGCACCACTCACACACACCACTGCTCCTATGGCCTACTACAGCCTAATTTCCCAGCAGACCTCAGGTAAGTTGTCAAACTGTTCTTAAACGGTTTGACTACTTACTCTAGGAGGGGGTCCTGGCACTATTGACACCATAACCACTACACTGAGCTGTAGTGGTTATTGTGTCCAGATTATTTCTTTAAATAATCTACAAGTGCCCCTCCCGAGATCAGGCTCTGGATCCGCCACTGCCCACACATTTATATTTAATCATAGACTTGTCTCTGCAACAACAATCTGTATGTTATGCAACTTTAACATTTTTGCTTTTTGTGGCATAAGTATCCCTAGGACAGGTACGTTTATCTAGGTACCAGCTGTAACTATGTTTAGCGGAGACACGCAAACTATACGCAAAACTATAGACTTCAAGGATATGATAGCAGTAGAGTTGAACAAACCCGAACTGTTCGGGTTGGAGTTCGGTGTTCGGCGATTTAATGGCGCGTTTTGAAAGGCTGCAGGGCAGCCAATCATCAAGCGTTTGACTCGTGTGTCCTTAGAAGCCATCACAGCCATGCTTACTAATTGCATGGCTGTGATTGGCCAGTGCAGCATGTGACCCAGCCTCTATATATAAGCTGGAGTCAAGTAGCGCCGCAGGTCACATGAGCTCTTATTAGTGTAGGGAGAGGATGCTGCATCTGTGAGGGACAGATTAGGCAAGAATTCTGGTGTTGAATCTGCAAACTACAGCGATTATTTTTGTGGGTGCTATACTACATTTTTGTACCCTGCCCTGAGCCCAGTGCCACAGAGAGTGCAGTAGGCAACATCTAGGCATTTTTAAATACCACATTTTTTTGGTGCGAAGTAGTACATTTGCGTACTGCATTTCTTGCAGTCTAAAAAAAACCTCAAATACTACTGTTACATTGTTGGTTTAAAAAAATCTAACTTTTTTGTGCTAAATAGTACATTTGCGGCTTGCGGTGCACTTCATATCTGAGAGTCAAATAGAACCGTCAAATACTGTGGTTACAGCGCAGTTTTAAAAATTCAAATTTTTTAGATGCTAAATAGTACATTTGGGGCCTGCACTTCATATCTGAGAGTCAAATAGAACCGTCAAATACTGTGGTTACAGCGCAGTTTGAAAAATTCGAATTTTTTAGGTGCTACATAGTACATTTGGGGCCTGCACTTCATATCTGAGAGTCAATCAGAACCGTCAAATACTGCTATGACATTGCAGTTTGACTAATTCACATTTTTTTGGTGCTAAAAAAGTACATTTGTGGCATGCACTTCATATCTGAGAGTCAAATAGAACCGTCAAATACTGTGGTTACATTGCAGTTTTAAACATTCAGATTTTTTGGGTGCTAAATAGTACATTTGGGGCCTGCACTTCATATCTGAGAGTCAAATAGAACCGTCAAATACTGCTGTGACATTGCAGTTTGACTAATTCACATTTCTTTGGTTCTAAATAGTACATTTGGTGTGTGCACTTTATATCTGAGGGTCAAATAGAACCGTCAAATACTGTGGTTACATCGCCGTTATAAACATTCACATTTTTTGGGTGCTAAATAGTACATTTGGGTCCTGCACTTCATATCTGAGAGTCAAATAGAACCGTCAAATACTGTGGTTACAGCTCAGTTTTAAAAATTCTAATTTTTTAGATGCTAAATAGTACATTTGGGGCCTGCACTTCATATCTGAGAGTCAAATAGAACCATCAAATACTGTCACATTTTTTGGGTGCTAAAAAGTACATTTGTGGCGTGCACTTCATATCTGAGAGTCAAATAGAACCGTCAAATACTGTGGTTACATAGCACTTTGAAAAATTCGAATTTTTTTTTTTATTATTCTTTATTTTTGGTTCGACACATATTACGGCATGGCAGTATTCAGTGGCTCGCGCAGGGGCCAATATTGATTGAGACTAACATTGCATAATACAGAAGATAAGCGGTTTTACAAGTTAATGCAAGGTTCTGTTACGCCGTGCAGTGTCACTGTAAAAATAAAATAAAATATAAAATGTAACACAGAACAAAACTCAACAAAACTAGACAGTTCATAACTAAGTGGAGCTACCTAAGGTAAGAGCCTCCGATATAGGTCCTGACCATGTGATTCCAACCCTCCGGCAAGCCCTAGATGTCTGTTATTGCGTTTGACTTAGGTTTCTGCATTCCAGGGCCCCAATTTCGTGTACGTCTGTCGTTTACAGTAGCTTTTATCAGATTATCCTTCCCCATCCTATGCATGTCCCTATCCAGGATGGCCTCTCAGGCAGGGAGTTTGGTGCCCTCCCAAATTTGTGTTTTTGACCCTGAGGGTCTGTGAGCATGGGTCCTGGGAACGTTGTCGCGAGTTGGGTTGGCCCTGCATGTGAGCTACTGGACCCCTTGTCGGCGTCTATACTGATTTCTTCCCTATCAGCTGTCTTCTATTAGATTGTATCAGTTTGGTCTGCTTGGGACCCTGGAATGAGCGTGGGCGGGCATTCTCTATTCGCGACATCCTCTATGCCATATGGGGGAGGAAGGGTAGGGGAAGTTTGGGGGGGGGACGAGCAGGGCTGGAGGGGGGTGATAATTGTTGAGGCGCGCGGTGGTCCGTGGCCCGGTCCCCCTCCCTTCCCGGTGGGGTGGGGTTTTATTCGTTAGTATAGTTTTCCCAGGGCTGCCAAACTTTGTGAAATACTTTTTCCGTGTTTCGAATTTGAGCTGTGAGTTTGTCCATCAAGTATGTGTCTTTGATTTTTACTATCACGTCGTTATCTGTGGGTGTGGTGGGTTTCATCCACGTTTGAGCTAGGGCCCTTCTGGCTGCAAGTGTGACTTTGTTAAGAAGTAGTTGCTCCCTCCTGGGGAGGCCATCTATGGGTCTGGATAACAGGATGGACCAGGGGTCCAAGTCCACTGGTCTCTCCAGAATGTCAGTGATTATTGACTGTATGCGCTTCCAGTATTTGTGGGCTTCTGGGTACTCCCACCACATATGTATGAAGGTGCCTTTGCTGCCACATCCCCTCCAACATGTATCAGTTGTGGTTTTCCCCATTCTATACAGTTGTACTGGTGTGGTGTACCATCGCATGAGCATTTTGCAAGATTGTTCCTGTTGGACTACACAAATCGACATCTTTGCCGTCGCTTCCCAAATGTCCACCCAGTCCTCCCCCTCCAGCTCCCCACCCAGATCTGCCTCCCACTGGGTTATGTACCTTGGGTCTTAAGTGTCTTTGTCAGGGGCGCTGAGTTGGGTGTATATGGCTGTTATGAGGCCTTTGGGTACCGTTTCAGCGTTACATAGCTGTTCAAAAAACGTCATCTGGGTGTGGGCTGCTTTTTTGACCTCCGGGGTTTTGGCGAAATCTCGTACTTGTATGTATCTAAATACATCTCTCGTGGTTAGGGGTGCCAAGGTTTGTAGATTGTCGTATGTTTTGAAGGAACCTCCCTCGTACATGTGCCCATATCTCTGTATCCCCGTGCTTTCTATCCCCCTAAAATCTTGTGCGCTCAGCCCGGGCTCAAATCCTTTGTTCCGTAAATACGGAGTAAGCGGCGAGGGTGTGTGTTTTACGGCATATTTAGTGGTCGTCTTATCCCATATACGGATGGAATTAAGGATCGCCGGACAAGTGGTTCGTAGGGGCGGTCTGTCCTGTTTGGGCACCCATATCCAGAACTGGGGCAGGTCTGGACACATTAGTTTTGTTTCCAGGTCTACGCATCTGTGGGAGCCCTCTGGGGCATGCCATGCCACTATTTGGGCAAGCTGAGCTGCCAGATCGTATTGATAGAGGTTAGGGAGTCCCAGTCCACCTCTCATTTTCGGCCGGTATAGCACCTGTCTAGCTACTCTGTGGCGTTTTTGGGCCCATATAAAATTATCTATGTGTCGTTGTAGTGTCGCTAGGTCTTGTTTGGTAACCCTTATCGGTAAAGTTTGAAATAAAAACAGTAAACGAGGGAGCATCGTGATGGCATGTAATCTGCCTATCCACGAGATTGGCTTTTCTTGCCATTTTTCGATATCTCGGCAAAGTGCTTGGAGTTTGGGCGTATAATTGGCAGTATAGAGTTTCTCTGGGTCCGCTGTAAGTATAACCCCTAGATAGGTAAGTTTGGTGCTTGTGAATTTGAGAGTGTGGGTGGCTTTCAAACTGTTTATCTCAGCCATGTCCATTGCGAGTGGCATGGCTTTTGATTTTTCTAAATTAATTTTATAGCCTGAGACACATCCGTATGCCTCTAGCAGGGACAGGAGCCGTGGGAGGGACTTTGGGGGGTTAGCAAGTGTGACTATGTCATCATCTGTCACGATTCGGGGAACCCAACACGCTGGCACACACACACACACACACAAAAGGTGCCGTACCGGACCTTAGAGTGGCCGGGCTAAGCACACACAGAATAGTCAGGAAACAAGCCGAGTAAGGAGAACCAGAAGACAGAATAACGTGAAACGAGCCGAGGTCAAAGGGTAGGAGAAAGTCACAGAGTCAGATAAACAAGCCAGAGAGTACGTAACCAGAAACACAAGGTAAGTAGCAATACTAGCAAGCAAAGACCACAACAGGGCAGGGAGGAACAGGGAAGGTAAGTATTTAAACCATCAGGTTAATTCTGATTGGATAATTTCCAATCAGAATTAACAATCACACGTGGGAGGTATCTAGACCTCCCACTGTGATTGAGGCACTGTACCTTTAGGTGACTGACCCCGGCGTGTACAAACTTGGGCGGTCTCCCAGCGTGCAGCGTCATGTATGCTGCCGCTGGGGGACGTGGAGGGAACGGCGGGCGGCATCCGAGGCTGGAAGGATGTCGCTCGCTGGACCCAGGAGGAGGAGGTGACCGCGGACGGCTGGAGGGTGAGTGCCACGAGCGGAGTGCAGCCTCCCCTCGCAGCCGCCCGCGGGATCCCGACATCATCTGCATATGCAGAAACTTTGTATTCCTCCCCCCCAGCCCATATGCCCGCTATGTCCCCATCCTCTCTTATCCTATGCAGGAGTAGCTCAAGCGCTAGGACGAACAGTAGGGGGGACAGGGGGCATCCCTGCCTGGTGCCGTTATTAGGCTTGAATGGTGTCGGGGCTGCCCCCGGCACAGTGACCTGCGCACTGGGCTCTGTATATAGGGCTTGTATACCTTTGATGAATGCCTCCGGCATGTGTAAGTGCCCGAGCAGCGAGAAAAGGTAGTGCCATTGGACCCTGTCGAACGCCTTCTCCGCGTCCAAGGATAGAATCAGAGAAGGCGTCCGAGTCCTCACCGCCCACCGTATGACGTCCGCTCCCCTCCTAGTGTTTTCGTACAATTGCCGTGATGGCACAAAGCCGACCTGATCGGGGTGGACCAGCACCCCCAGGAGGGGGTTTAACCGTGTCGCCAGGATTTTCGCAAACACTTTTACGTCAAAGTTTATCAATGAAATGGGCCTGTAATTCAGTGCATCTGTGGGGTCTCTGCCTGGCTTGGGGATGAGGGTTATGTCTGCCGTAAGCATCTCTGGGCAAGGATGACCCCCGTCCATCCACTCCGCGTACACCCTCACAAGTCGTGGGATTAGCGTGTCCCTAAGGATTTTGTAGTAGGAGCTTTGTTACCCTTGAGGGCCGTGATAGCCCTATCCACCTCTTCCTCCTCTATGGGCGCTCCCAGAGCTTGTAGGGCCCCCGGGCTCGGCCGCGGCAGACTGGCCCCAGCCACAAAATCCTCCACTGCTGCGGCATAGTCCCTGTTAGTGCCGACCAGCTCTGGGGAATGATTATAGATGCTGGAGAGGAGCTCCGTGAAGATCTGATTGATCTCCATAGGGTCATGGGTATTGCGCTTTGGGGTTCAGTGCTCTGGCGAGGAGGGTGTCCATTTTATTAGAGCGTTCATAGTAAAGATGCTTTCTACGGACCAGGTCCCGCCCCAAGTCCTCCACCGCCAAAGACCGTATTTTGTGGCGGAGGTCGCGAAGGTCCTGGAGTCCCTGTGGCGTGGGGGTTTGTTTGTGTTTGGCCTCGGCCCTCCTCAGCGCCTTCTGGAGCTCGAAGAGGGCCTCCGCACAGTGTTTTTCCTTCGGGTTGCTAGTTTGATAAGGGTACCCCGTATGACCATCTTGTGGACAGCCCAGATCGTGGATTGTGTTAAGTCCGGCGTATCGTTTGTGGTAAAGTAGTCTGTCAGTTCGCCCTGGATAAGTTTGGTCACCTCTGGGTCTTTTATGAGTGTGCTATTTAACCGCCACTTCCATGGTGGTTTGGGCCCCATGTCTGCATGGTCCGACCACGTAATTAGGTTTATTCGCGCAGAGTGGACCCATGGGATCCCACCCTGGTTGACCAGAAACATGTCTATGCGGGAGTAAGTCGAATGAGCCGCCGAAAAGTATGTATAGTCCCTCTGTCCTGGATGTTGTAGCCTCCAGGGGTCTAACAGTTTCACTTTCTGTATGAACTGGGCCAGCAGCTTGTCTTGTCCCCCTGTCCGCAGTGCCCCCCGATCTCCCGACAGCATGCTGCGGTTGACCGGTGGGCAAGGGGTCGAGTTAAGGTCGCCCCCCAACACCACAACCCCCTGGGGCAAGGCGTGTATGGAATCGTGTAATGTCTCCCAAAATGCTGGGTCTGGTTGATTGGGGGCATAAATGTTGATCAGGTGGTATGTGGTAGTGTATATAGTCCCTGTGAGGATGACGTACCGGCCCATGGTGTCTGTCTGTGTTGTGTGGGCGATAAACGGGCACTTTTTGTGCAGGAGTATTTCTACGCCATTTTTCTTACTAAGCGCCCTAGAGTAGTATGACCTGGTGTATGTGTGATCCATTAGCTGAACGCGGGCTGAGCGCAGGAGGTGTGATTCTTGCACAAAGGCGATATCCGCCTTTTGTCGTTTTAGTTCCCTCATTAATAGTCGTCTTTTGTTCGGGGTATTAAGGCCATTGACGTTTAAGGATGTAATTTTGAGTGTGGCTGTAACGGAGCTCCTTGTACTCCGACTGAGTACCCTCCGTTGACGGATGCTCCTAGCGCTTCCTGAGGACTCCAAGCGCTGCAGCAGACACCACAACCACCGCAGACTCCGCAACCGCCGTATCTTGACTGGAGTCTCGCCGTCTTCCTTCCACCCTGGATCAGCTTCTGTCCTCCAGGACTGTGTGGGAAAGAACTCTTCCTTCCACCCTGTACGAACCTCCAGCATTCAGGACTGTGTGGTGAAGACCCCTCCTCCAAGGAGAGCGTGTCAGGAACAAGCTCTTAAAAGAGCTAAGTGACTCAAGCTCAGGGGAGCATGCAGAGCATAGCAATCCCCAGTGTGATTATAACAGCTCCCTCCAATACCGAGACAAGGCTACATTTAGAGGAATCAAGAAGAACTGTCAAAACCTTTATTCCCTTGGGACCAGCCAATACAGTCACCACAATAACATTGTTGTGAAACCTCAATAAAATCACAAACAGTCAAACCATATCAAGAAACACACAGTGACTTATCACAACACAATGGCACATTTTTAAAGGGGTGGGGGGAGACAATATTTAACAGTAAATATCTCACCTGCCTGCAGAATTAGCAATATGCAAATCTACCCGAATATGCAAATGAACCAGTCTTGCAATTCAGGTAGTGCATATTGCTGTTGCTACCAACAGAGGGCACTAGACAAGCTCCATAGCCAAACCCACCTAGTTGGTAGCAAACCTCAGCAGTACAGGAGAGAAGGCAATACATTTCACAGTACACACACACACACTATAAACAATTACATTACACACACCCTGCACCTATAATGGGTACAGGGTGAATAAAACATAAGATAAATAAAGCAGCCTACATAAATAGTCTGTCTGAAGGTAGAATAGGGGCTTTAAAGGCAAATACATCAAAGAGTCATAGTCACAGGGGAGGAGGCTGGCAAGCAGGCCTCTCCAGTACCAAGTGGCGAAGGGCACTTCGTCACAGTGGCCATGTTTGTTTCTAATTTTGACTGACTCGTGCTCGTCAGGGCCAATCCCAGGCCGCCGCGCACCTCTCCAAAAAGTGCCTCTGAGGAGGGAAGGTGGGGGGAACCCCTGGGAGGGTAGGGAATGGGGCATCGGGGTCACCAGATGGGAGCCCGAACATAGTTCCCTGGCAGTTCCCTCTGGGTGAGGGGAGTCAGGTGCGTGCACCTATGGGCCACCGGCCCTGCCTCTGAGCTGGGGAGGGGTGGAGTGGGATAGCGCTATGGGTGCTAGGGGAAGGAAGGGACCTGTACCAATTGGGGTCGCTGTTAAATCACCTGGATGATTAGGTAACAACATTATATACATAACAGGCATTATCAAGCAAATCAATATAGATATAGTTAAAACATTTCCAATACCCCATTCCCAAACACCAACAGTTCTGGTGGTCTCCCAGGTTTAAGTTTCCTGAGAGGGTTAGCATCCCATTGAGTTCCAACTGCCTGGGCCTCTAGATAGTCTATGAACCCTTGCGTCCCCCAACATCGGTTTGTCATCTTATGTCACGGCCGGAGGCTTCCAGGAGGGGGAGAGGAGTGATGTCCAGTCTGTGTCAGGTCTGCAGGACATCCCATGTCCAGTGGGGTAACAGAGGGGAGGGAGGGGGTGAAGAAAGCCTAGTTGTCTGGGTCACGGGCCCGTCTATCAAGGGTGTTCCTGATGGTAGGCACAAGACTACACTCCCCCCTGTTGGAATCCCCGTGCTAGCTGCTGGGCCTATCCGCCCTAAAATCCCTCAGCAGAGTCCTGGCTAGTGAGTGCCCTCGGAGAGGGGGGATATACACTTGCGTGTCTGGCTGTGCTCGTGGAGTACCCCACCAGTTCATGTGTCATCTGCATCTGCCACAGGGTAGAGGCCTTTTCGTCTTTCCTTCCCCCACGGTGTTTCTGAGTCCCCTCCCTTGTGACCCAATCAGCGTTCCTAGTTGTTCTTGAAGGTCCGGTCTTTGTCTTGCCCTCTAGGTCCGTCGTCTCCGGCTGCACAGCTTGTCTCTTTGATGTTGTTTGTTGCTGTTTGTACTCTGGTGCGTGTTAAGTCCGATGTTGTTGTTCGCTTTTGTTTGGGATGTTCTCTTTATGGGTTTTGCGTCGTTATTATAATTTTTTTTTCTTTTCCTTTTTTTGTTTGTTTTGTTTTCGTTTTTATTTTGTATTGATTTTTTTTTTGTTTTTTTTTTTTGCTTGTGCTGTGGTATCGTGGTGCTTGCATTGGTTTGGTGGCTTTAAGTTTGTTTTTTGTCTTCTTCCTTTTTTTCCTCCATCTTGTCGTGCTTTCCGTTCCTTGTCCTTGTTTTTTATTGTTCTCTGTGTATTCGGTGGGATTCAGACCATTAAACACAAGCATTTTGAAAGGGTGGCCCCAAGCAAAATTAAGGCCTTTGGCTCGCACTAGGTCGGCAATGGGCTTCCACTCCCGTCTCCTGGCTAACGTGGCTGGTGCAATATCCTGATAGAGGTGTATGGTAGAGCCCTCGACTGTATAAGTGTGGCACCGTGTGCTTTTAATAATGGCTTCCTTGGTGGAAAAATAATGCCACCTCATGATGACATCCCGTGGCGGTCCGTCTTGGGGGCTTCTGGCCCTGAGTGCCCTGTGGGCCCTGTCTATGGTCCACAAGTGGTCTGGGATCTCTGGCAGGTGTTCCCTGAACAGGTGTGTGAGCACCTTCTGGAGGTCTGTGTCTTTAATCCTTTCAGGCAGGCCTTTTATTCTGAGGTTATTCCTCCTAGATCTGTTGGAGGCATCCTCTAGCGCAGCTTCTAATTCGGCCACCCGTGTAATAAGGCCATTAGTAGTAGCAGCCACTTCATTGTGGGCCTCCACCACGTGATCCATCCTCCATTCCAGGGCCTCAGTGCGTTGGCCCACCGTCTGAATCTCTGCCTTCACCTCTCTTGCGGACCGCTCTATTTCCCCTGCCAGGTAATGTTTCACCTCCGCTAGTGATTGCAGTACTTCTAGGTTGGCTGATGGTGGCGGTGGTTTCTCCTGTTCCCTGGTGTATGGGGAGCCCGTACTCACGTGTCGGCCGCCATCTTTGGCCGCCTGCGGCCTTGGTGTAGTAAGCAGGTCGGCGACGGACGGGGCCCCCTCCCGCGGCTTTTTCCCGTTCTTCTTGTGCAAAGCCATCACCGGGACCGTCCCTCCGACAAGGTGAGAGCTGCAGGAGTGATAGCGGTGGTAATTTGCGGTATGCAGTGCGTTGTCGGATCGTCCGGGGCGCGGAGCTCTCTGCCTAAGCAGCCATTTCTCTCGGCGGTCAGGCCACGCCCCTGGAAAATTCTAATTTTGTTGGTGCTAAATAGTACATTTGGGTCCTGCACTTCATATCTGAGAGTCAAATAGAACCGTCAAATACTGTGGTTACAGCGCAGTTTGAAAAATTCTAATTTTGTTGGTGCTAAATAGTACATTTGGGGCCTGTACTTCATATCTGAGAGTCAAATAAAACCGCCAAATACTGTGGTTACAGCGCAGTTTTAAAAATTCTAATTTTTTAGATGCTAAATAGTACATTTGGGGCCTGCACTTCATATCTGAGAGTCAAATAGAACTGTCAAATTCTGCTGTGACATTGCAGTTTGACTAATTCACATTTTTGGGTGCTAAAAAGTACATTTGTGGCATGCACTTCATATCTGAGAGTCAAATAGAACCGTCAAATACTGTGGTTACATAGCACTTTGAAATTTTTTTATTTTGTTGGTGCTAAATAGTACATTTGGGTCCTGCTCTTCATATCTGAGAGTCAAATAGAACAGTCAAATACTGTGGTTACAGCGCAGTTTGAACAATTCACATTTTTTGGGTGCTAAATAATACATTTGGGGCCTGCACTTCATATCTGAGAGTCAAATAGAACCGTCAAATACTGTGGTTACAGCGCAGTTTGACTAATTCACATTTTTTGGGTGCTAAAAAGTACATTAGTGGAGTGTACTTCATATCTGAGAGTCAAATAGAACCGCCAAATACTGTGGTTACAGCGCAGATTTAAAAATTCAATTTGTTTTGGTGCTAAATAGTACATTTGGGGTGTGCACTTGATATCTGGTGTATGTGTGCAACACTGGCTAGTTACCGCTTCTCAAGTTAAAGACAAATAAATGTTGCCTATGGTGCAGGTAGTATAGAAGGCAAGACTGAGACAAATCATTTGGGTTACGTTTGCTTGTTGACATGTTAATTATCTTAGACCATTAAAATTCAATAATCAATGAAAAAACACACTGAGTGTCATACAAAAATATGTATTATAGACAAGTTAAAAACAGTCATGCTATAACAAAATTAAACAAGTTTTAAACTATGTATGGGCCAACCAGTGGCTGTAAAAGTTTTACTGGTTACATTGATGACTACACACTCTTGTGAACAGGACCTTCATGTAGTGTGTTCTTTTTTTTTTAAAATCATACAGCATCCTTTCATGTGCAGACCGACAAGGAGGGCAGGGTTGAGGGGTGGGTGGAAGATGATGTGGAGGATGCTGAGGCCCTAGACCCCACATAGAATCAAGGTCATGCGAGTGACGTGTGCAGTTTGGAGGAAGAGGTGGTGGTCGCACAGAGACACCAGCACAGCATAAGAGGGAGCAGGGTGCAAAAGCGAGCGGCCGTCCCCTAGTGCTCGTCGGCATGTATTAGCTCTAGAATTACCACAGTTATCCAAGTAACAGATGGAGCGATCAAAGGAACCATAACCGATTTAATGAGCCATTCGCAGTTTTACTGTAGCGGTAGCTTTCAGCATTCTCACCCTGCTGCTGCTCGCCTGTCTGCCCTGCAGCGTAACTTCGGCCTTCCCACTCACCGCCTCATATGCGATGTGCCCACAAGGTGGAACTCCACCTTGCACATGCTGGAGAGACTGTGCGAGCAGCAGCAGGCGATAGTCGCTCTGCACCAGACTTGCCCTCCAATAGATCCTCGTTAAAGGATTTAAAGTGTACTCATTCCAATTACAGGGTCTAGAAAGAGTTCTGTATTGTGATTTTTTGTCACTACCTGCCCACGTCGGGAGTGGGTAATTTGCGCGACTGCTGCCTTCCTTGGATGTGGTATCCGTTTCTCAGGCTCCCTCTCTGGAATCGAACCCTGATTCCCCGTTACCCATGGTCACCATGGTAGGCGCAGAAAGTACCATAGAAAGTTGATAGGGCAGACATCTGAATGTGTCATCGCCGTCACGGGGACATGCGATCTGCCCGAGGTTATCTAGAATCACCAAAGTGCCTGCGCAACGACTGCCGAGTTGCCCACTTTCTAACTTGTGCGGATTACTGGGTGGCCACCCTGCTGGATCCCCATTACAAGGACAACGTGCCGTCCATAATTCCCTCACTGGAGCGAGATTGGAAGATGCGCGACTACAAGCGCACGCTGGTAGACCCGCTGCTAAGGGCGATCCTAACTGACACCGGGGGCTCAGTTTTAGCACAAGGCGAAGGCAGTGGAGGAGGAAGAGGTCGTTAAACGCAGCTGGGGCACTGCCAGCACCTCACAAGGCAGTGTTAGCATGGCAGAAATGTGGAAAAGCTTTGTCAGCATGCCACAACAACCAGCACCACCAGCTGATATGGAACGTCTTAGCAGGAGGCAGCATTTCAGCAACATGGTGGAACAGTACATGTGCACACGCCTACATGTACTGACTGATGGGTCTGCCCCATTCAACTTCTGGTTCTCCAAATTGGGCACATGGCCTGAGCTTGCCCTTTATGCCTTGGAGTGCTGGTCTGCCCTGCAGCCAGTGTATTGTCTGAACGTGTGTTTAGCACAGCAGGGGGCGTTATCACAGACAAGCGCAGCCGCCTGTCCACAGTCAACGTGGACAAGCTCACGTTTATTAAAATGAACCAGGCATGGATCCCACCAGACTTGTCTGTACCTTGTACAGAATAGACATTTATCTCCTCATCCAGCCGTTGTTATATTCAAGTGCACTTATTCTTTGTTTTCTTTTTTTTATATGTCCCAATATTTTGGGGGCTACTCCCAAAAAAAAAACCAGTGTTGGCTACCTCCTCCACCACCGCTTCCACCTATACCGCCACGGTCACCGCCTCCTCAACCTCCTACTCCACCTCCTGCACCTAGAGCAGGGTGCAAAAGCGGAGCGGCCGTCCCCTAGACAGTACGCCTGCTACTGCCCCCACCGCACCCAGGGACTGAGCACACCAAAGCCAGCTCCAAGGAATTCCCTGGCGTGGCAGTTCTTCAGACGATGTGCTGACGACACGACACGAGTGGTTTGCACACTGTACAATCAGAGCTTGAAGCGAGGCACAAACGTTCTAAACCTGAGCATAACCTGCATGACCAGGCATCTACACAGTGGCGTACACATGACCCATGGGGCCCCGGTGCGAAAATTGATCCGTGGGCCCCCCCCCGCGTGCGGGCCGGGCCGCAACACATGGCGGTGGGCACCTGGTCGCAGGGGTTACAGGGCTGCGACCCCTGCGACCGCGGTATGTACGCCAGTGCATGCAGATGCACACACACTTAAAGGACCATTCTAGGCACCCAGACCACTTCAGCTTAATGAAGTGGTCTGGGTGCCAGGTCCAGCTAGGGTTAACCCATTTTTTCATAAACATAGCAGTTTCAGAGAAACTGCTGTGTTGATGAATGGGTTAAGCCTTCCTCTATTTCCTCTAGTGGCTGTCCCATTGACAGCCGCTAGAGGCGCTTGCGTGCTTCTCATTGTGATTTTCACAGTGAGAGCACGCCAGCGTCCATAGGAAAGCATTGTGAATGCTTTCCTATGTGACCGGCTGAATGCGCGCGCAGCTCTTGCCACGCGTGCGCATTCCGCCGACGGGGAGGAGAAGAGGAGGATCGGAGGAGGAGAGCTCTCCGCCCAGCGGTGGAAAAAGGTAAGTTTTACCCCTTTCCAGAGCCGGGCGAGAGGGGGTCCCTGAGGGTGGGGGCACCCTCAAGGCACTATAGTGCCAGGAAAACGAGTATGTTTTCCTGGCACTATAGTGGTCCTTTAAAGGACCACTACAGACACCCAGATCACATCAGCTCAATGAAGTTGTCTGGGTGTCAGGTCCCTCTAGTTTTAACCCTGCAGCTGAAAACATAGTAGTTTCAGAGAAACTGCTATGTTTCACTGAGGGTTAATCCAGCCTCTAGTGGCTGTCTCACTGACAGCAGCTAGAGGAGCACACTGAACATCCATAGGAAAGCATTGAGTAATGCTTTCCTATGGGCGGTTTGAATGCGTGCGCGGTCTCATTCGGAGCTGAGAGGCTGAGGGATCCTCAGCGCCAAGGGAGTCCGGCGCTGGAGAAAGGTAAGTGCTGAAGACACACACACACACACTTACAGACGCATACACACTAGCTAACAGACACACATTTACTGACAGAGACACAGTCAGCGACAGACATACATACACACTCACTTACAAAACATACACTCATTGACAAACACACACTCACTAACAGACATCAAACAGACTCACTAACACACACACACACTCAGTAAGACACACACACACTCAGTAAGACACACACAGTAACACACTCACTGACACTCACTAGCAGACACACACACTAACACACTAACACTCACACACTAACACTCTCACACACTAACACTCACTCACACTAACACACACTCACTCTAACACTCACACACACTAACACTCACTAGCAGACACACTAACACACACACTAACACTCACTCTAACACTCTCACACACTAACACACACAAACACTCACACTAACACTCACTCTAACACTCACACACACTAACATTCACTAGCAGACACACTAACACACACACTAACACTCACTCTAACACTCTCACACACTAACACTCACTCACACTAACACTCACTCTAACACTCACACACACTAACACTCACTAGCAGACACACTAACACACACACTAACACTCACTCTCACTCTAACACTCTCACACACTAACACTCACTCACACACACACTAACACTCACTCTAACATTCACACACACTAACACTCACACTAACACTCACACATGATTTTTAAAAAAAAATTTTTAATGTAATCCCCCAGCCTCCTTACCGTTTGGAGTGCTGGGGGGATTCCCTGGGGTCCAGTGGTGCTGCTGGGCTCCTGTGCGGGTGGCCGGTCGGGCAGGCAGGCGGGCCCGCGAGGGAGCACTCAGTGCTTCCTCTTCAGCTCCCTCGCGCACCGCGTAGGGATGCCGGCGCCGGAAGATGACGTCATCTTCCGGCTCCGGTATCAGTGCGGTGCGCGAAGGAGCTGAAGAGGAAGCACTGAGTGCTCCCTCGCGCGCCTGCCTGCCTGCCTGCCCGACCGGCCACCCGGGGTCAGCAGGGCCAGCCTCAGGGGGGCCCTGGGGTGGTCGGCTCCTGGGCCCCCCAAGGGGAAGAGGCTGGCCCAGTGGCTACATACCGGGTCGCAGGGGCGGGCCGGGCCCCCTGGTGGGCCGGGCCCGGTCGCAGTCGCGACCCCTGCGACCCTGGTATGTACGCCACTGCATCTACATGCAAAGTACCAGCTGCAGTGGAGTAAGCACCTCAAAAAACAAAGGTCTCAGGAGTGAAAGTGGCACCTGCCACCCCGCAAACAGAGGATGTGGCAGCAACGCACAATAGCAGAGGCTTGTGAAGGCCTTTTCTCCATGCATCAGGAGTTGAGCTCACTCAGTGAGCACTTCCTGTCAGTCCGCCGGCGGTCAGGTACAGGAAACAGAGGTTCCTGTCCAGCGTTCCGCGCCGCCCGGCCTCGCTACATTGAGAGATTGGCGGGAGGGATCACTGCCTAGGTCGCCTTACAGGTAGCGCCGGCCCTGCTTAGAGGTTTAGACTTTTTTAAGGGGTGCCCTCGAAGGCACGTTAGGGCAGATAGATATTGGCTATATTTCAGTCCTTTCCCTGTTCATACTCCTACCTTCCTAGCATTTACCCTTTATCTGCGATTTTGCAGTCAGTTCTCATTCTCTTTCCCCCCCCCCCTTTTTTTTCCAGTAATACCCACCTTTTGGTTACTTTATTTTTTGTTAGCACTATTTATTATTTCTAGCATTTAGGACTTATTTGTAACTACTTTTCAAACCCACACATTGGAGGGGGGTGGGGGGGGCTAGATTATACTTACTAAATGTTCTTTTTTAAATCATTTACTTATGGGTTGCTCTTTCATCTCTATAGGTCAGCCTTGTTAGGTTTGAAATAGTCTCTACCTCTGATTATCCCCTTGTTCACGTTTTCAAAAGAATAATAAGGTAGCTTTGAGAAACGGTAAGCTTAGAGTCGCTCTTGACCATGTGCAGAGTTGGTGGGGATTGTTCATAAAATGTAAAATACTATGATTGATTGAAAACATTCTTATTGCAACTACTTTTTCTTTCTAACCACAGACTCACTTGATAGAGAGAGGTCGTATTTGGATGAAACTGAACACACGACCATGATGTTCTCGAGCATACTTTAGCTTTCGTGGAAAATTCTTACACATCACCCACCTTTCAGTGTGACTCAGTGAAAATAGGTTCTAAGTTCAGCATTGCTAAAAAAAAATAAAAAAATAAAAAATGAATATGGTTAACTCTTTACTATCACTCGACAAGACAAATTTAGAACTCTTACTGTATGTCATCATCTTCCATTGAGCAATACAAAACTGGTTTCATAATATTCAACATCCCTACTATAAAAGTTTAAGAATAATAGGATGTGGTCATAGATAACCAGTTATGGATGGCATAAGTAAAGTCCACTACATTTTATGCAGCCAATAGAAAGGTCCACCTGCAGGAAGTGTTACTTTTCACCCTTCATCTAGTCTAGGCTGATGTTTGGGTGGGAGCTATAAACACCCTTCAACAGATATACTCAGTGGAAGTGTAGGGGATCCATTACAAGATGTATCCATGAGGAATGGAAAACACAGATTGGCAGGAAACATCACCCTATAAATACTATGAACTACAAAATGTCAACTCATTCTGTCATATACTATTAAAAATTATAG